GCCTGCTGTTTATAATGTTGAATTTCTGTAAAATAAACTGTATTTGCAAATCCAACATTGAGCTTCTGGACTATGCTAATGCCACTGCTGAATCCTCAACGGAAAGGGTCGACCATTTGCAGTTGAAATGATCTGAAAATGTAGCTTCTGTCCTAAGTCACTTGACTTGTCGCACATCTCTGTAAGACTTGTATGGTACTGGCAGAAAGTCGTTTTTAAAAAGCCATAGGCTTTTCTTGTCTTTAGCTGTAATAATGCTGGTTTTGGTTTCCTCGAGAGCTGTATTTCTGTCTGTCACTTGTGTACTGGCCCCTGTGTTTACCACGGACCCTCCTCACTCCCTCCTCCCGGTCTTTTGGAGTTTGTGACGCTAATTTAAAATGAATGTGTTGCTCTTGAGAGCAAGTGAGATTGTTAGTTAAATTCCAGCTATACAGTTTTCTAACATAGCTCTAAGGTCCTTGTTGCTGTTTGTGGTAACTGATAGATAACTCATTGGAAACATGTGCATACATTTATATTCAGATGAAATTATGGTTTGCACTGTCTATTAAATATCTCGATTAATTTTCATACTTTGCTGTTGTGTTCAATCAGTCTATTGTTTGCCTTGGGAGCCCAGCCTTTGCAGGCTGCCTGGGGTGCAGTGGCATCCGTGGGAACATGGGAGATCGCGCACCGCCTGTCTCGGCAGCCTGGGCCAAAGAGCAGAGCCTGTCTCACTAGAAACCCACTCTGGTGAGCGGGCTCTGAGGAAGCCTCAGGGTCTGCCCTCCTCCGTCCATGTCCGTGGGCAGCGCCTGCAGGAGCCTCCACCTGTTGGAAACCATGGTGCTCCCACCTGACAGGGCCTGGGTGGTCCACTGAATAAAACGGCCTTTCCCAAAGGAAGGAGGTGGAGGGCAGGGGCCCGCGACACATGGAGCCCCTGCTCTCAGGGTGGTCACAGTCTTCTGATCTCAGGGCAGGCGCCTGGGGATGGTGGTGGGTGAAGACTGTGGCAGTGGCTCAACCACATCCTCAAGAACCAGGCCTGTGCACCCTCCTACCCTGCCACCTGGACATAAAGGCGAGGAGGCAAAGCTATCCGAGGAGACTCCATGCAAACTGTCCCTTATGGCTCGTGGGTCATGACTGTCACATGGCTACTACTTTTTTGTTTTTTTTTTTTTTTTTTTTTTTT